CACTCAGCGGTCAGCAGTTTAAGGCCATTTTGATGAATTCAAATGTTTTATTCAAGCCAATTAGTTACATACACTTCTTACGGTATGTACTCTTCTCCATATTTACAGCACAGAAGAGTTAGATAGCGAGGGAAAGGCCAGGGGACCCTCGTGGCAATTATTTTAACAAGATGGAATTAAAAGATGAGAAACTCTAATAGTATTTTAGCGTCCTCAAATTTTAAGGCTGCAAGTTCACAATAGTGAAGACCTAGCGACCATTTTTAAATAAAACCGAGTTTACATGCTATAAAAATCATGTTCGCAATGCGTTTGGATTTGTTTTGCAGCTTGTTGAATGCTGTCTGAAAATCAAGCAGTTAATGAAAACTACGTGTTTGGAACATGTGTTCTAAGAGGCAGCGCAGTGGAGACTCTCATAAGGCCAGTCACTTGGAAAAGTTAGCCACTTCATCGGACAGCCGCGGCCTCCAGAGACCTGTCCTGAATGCCCACTGCGCAGTGCTGCTTTCTACACCCAGCTGAAAGCCTCCCTTAGTCTAGATGCCAAGGCCTAAGAGAAGCAAACACGGAACCACGGTCGATGCGGCATCACCGTTGTCACTACTCTCTCCATGAAGCACCTGGGACACAGGTGGCGGTTGGCATTCCTCTTGAACTGGAGAACTGTCAGCATCACAGAATTCGAGAGCGGAGAGGGCCTGAGAAGACAATGAGCTCAGCACCTCACTTTCCCCTTGAGGACAGTGAAGGGAGGGTGATCCAGGGGCCCAGCATTTATCAAGGAAGCGGGCACGCGGAGCTGGGCGCTTCCACTTGACTCTCGTCTCTCACAGTCCCTGGGAGGCAGCATTAACCTCCCTCTCACAGCTAAGGAAACGCAGGCACACCCGGGTAACTCCACCAATGGGAAACGGGGAATCTGACCCCAAAGTTAGTGCTCTGGCCTCAGGGTAATGATTCACAAAGTGTGATCCTGGGAACAGCAGCAGAGACGTTACCTGGACACGTGTTAGGAATGCACATTCCCAGGCCACACAGACCTACTGAAGTAGAAGCTCTGGGTGGGACCAGCAGGCCCTCCGGGATGCACCCTCAAGTTTGGGAGCCACGGCCAACCTTCAGCATGCTGTCTCTGTGAAACTTTACTTGGAGTATGTATATTAAAATACACATAATTTTACACTTAAGCTACTACAAATGTCAAAAGAACTTAGTGTATTATTTATACTTTATACATAATTAAGACAAGGATAGCCTTCAACAAAATTTTACTTTGGATGTTACATAGTCTGATTGACAATAAATTTTTTCATAAGAAAAGAAAATGTGAAAACTATTCAGAATAAGCAAATACTGGTAATGAGATTATAAAGAACTATTTCTACATGGTGTCAAAAATAAGACTCTTGAAGCAGGAATGTTCTACAAACCTGCAAGGATCACTGAAATTAATGAATACGCTCCTGTTGGCTTGATTACTTGCCATCATTACCACTAGGTATAGGAAAACCAAGTTCAGAAATATTGAATGCTTAGCATACAAGGATCTAAGTTAAAGTTAATAAAAGTAGCTCTTAAAAACGAAGTCACATGTAAAATTAAATTGAAAACTAAAAATTTCACAGAGTGCCTTGTTAAAAGTCAATTTGGAAGTTTTACTTTAGAAGTTCCAATCTGGAAGTCTTTCTTTTCCAACTTTAAAATATCATGAGGAAATGTCTTCATCTGACTTGTTGCCACCCCAAGTCCCCAACTCAAAAATAAAATCACATTCACGTTACCAAAAACTCAAAATGTTCCCATTGGATATTTTGCCATTTCAATTAGCATTTTGGCAAATATGCCTAGAAAACTAATTATTTTCATATATAATTTTTCTTAAATATATGTCAATGATTTCATTTGACATTCTAATAATGAACGTATATTGCATATAGAAAATTTTAGAGGAAACCATCGTTTTTTAAGTGCAACGGCATTAAAATGATGCTTAGTTTTAATATATATGTAATAAACTAAAACTTTTTAGATAATCAAATGAGAATGAAAATATGGTAATTTAATAAGAGTTAAAGATTTCAATTATTATGTAATCTTTATGCCCAATAGCAAAACAAAAAAGTTTCATGTTGATACAATAGTGAATTTCCAAGAGCCATTATTTGCTTCTAATTTATAATGAGCTCCTCTTCTGTCTCCAGTTTATTACAGGCTCTTAGATTTAAAGGGAAATTTCCTGTATATATACAGTACACAACCTATGTATTACTGTATTATTAATTTTTGTACAGATGTGGGAGGCTGATACTAAAAAAAAAAAAAAAAAAAAAAGGAAATGTGGGTCTAACTATTGTGACTCTATGTAAAAATGTACCTCAATCTATCTAAATGGAACTTTTGGTACTTAACAAACATATTAAAATAGAACTCTAACTTCAAAGTCTGTAAACCAAGAAGCTCATATATGCCATGTCACCATTACAAAAATCAGCACACAATATGTTAGCTATATGTTAAATCTGTAGATGTCACAGATAATGATACTCATCTCTTATTTCTGTGAATTTTTCCTAAAATATTTAGTAGTAAAGAATTCTCTCAAAACGAGAGAGAAATGAAGCTGGATTATAACAACAGAAAATGCTTAAAATTTCATTTATTTGCTAGTACAAATATGAAAAATTATCTAATTAACTTCTACTTTATCATCTTTGAAGATATTTTGTTTCTTGGAGTTAGTGCTACAGATCTCACCACAGTGCATTGTGAAAAACCTTGGCTTCCACTGAGGTCATATTCTGCAACCCCAAATTGGCTCTGCCTGATTGACTGTAAAGGGAAATTAGCATTCTTCCTGAAACAAGGCTTCATACATTTGAGAATATTTACATTTAACCTGTGAGCTCACATCTATAGCGACAATGAACTTTATTCGTCAGCTTCCAGGAGGAAATTGGTTTAATTTAGAATTAATTAAGTCAGGCTGATGGAAGCCAATATTTCAACTTTTTTAAAACATCAAAATTTATTTAAAGGAATAAGTACAGGTGCATTAGATAAATCTAAATGGCCTTTCTAAGCTCCAGAAAGCACTCATCTAAGCAATCCCAAGGCTGCTTTATCTTTCAGTTTTGTTTTAGTAGAGATTCTGATGTTCATGTAACAAAGTCTTTCTGAGAAAGCAGCAGACCTCCTCAGTCAAGCCATAATTTGAAACATCATAAAATAATGGGATTTAAATTATGTATGGGAAGAAAAGTAGAAGACTGCAACGAGGTACTGGAAATCTCTATTTGAGTCTTTACTTTCAGGAAAACATGAACACAAGCCAACACTGTTGTAAGAGAGTGTAACCTCTCCCAAGCGTCCCCAAAGGCCTGCAGTGTGGTTGCTTTGATCCTAGGGCTTTGACACCTAGACTTCTGGGTACTCACAGAGTGCCCAGAATATTTACACACAATATTTATTTCTTGAGAACATGAACCCTTAACTACAAAGGTGTAGAAAGAAGTCCTCAATTGCTCACTCTGGCTATAGTGACCGAATACAAAAACCATTCAGATAAATAAAACCTGAGAGAAAAGACAGTAACAAAGCAGCAGTAACGCTTACTTCAGTTAACCAATCTGAGGGTGCTTCCTTCTACAGAAGGTGCTCTTCAATAATAAAACGGCTCAACAGAGGCCTAGAAGTCCTCCTCAGGATCTAACCAGCATGCTAGCTAAGGCTTACTACTTCCTGAATCCTGAGTGACAACACATGATCTGCATGACGTGGACACAGGGCACATGAAGAGCCCCAAATTCTAAGTTCAACCCCTTTTCCTACCTAAATAATTTAAAATTTGAATGTCACTTCCACTGTTGCAACTATTTACCCTTTAAATTGTGAAAGGTGTGGGTGAACTGTCAAACAGCAAAAACAGAAGGTAGAAGTGGCTAGATAACTTCAACCAAAATTAGTCGTTGAGTAATTGAAATGTTACTTCATTAAGTTCTTTTTAGGAGAACATTCCCTAAAAGTCCACACTCTTTACATGCCTTACCCGTGTCAAGCTAACAAAATCAGTATTACTTTAGCTTAACAAGAATTGCTGGTGGCACCAAATAGGAAAACAGCTGTCTGGTTTTTAAATATAATATCATACATGATCTTTTAAATTAATATAAAAGTTCTCAGAACAACCAGAAAGAGGGCTAAACTTCATTTTAGACTCATTGTAACACCAAAGCATGTTGAAGAATTTGAATAAGACAAACTAAAGCTAAACATAGCAAAGGGAATTTTTAAAAAAATTGATTTGGCCCAGCCAGGCGTGGCTCAGCGGTTGAGCGTCAACCTGGGATCCAGGCGATCAGGGTTTGATTCCCGGTCAGGGCACATGCCCGGGTTGCAGGCTCGATCAATGACTCTCTCACCATTGATGTTTCTCTCTCTCTCTCTCCCTCTCCTTTCCACTCTCTGAAATCAATAAAGATTTTTTTTTTTTTAATTGATTTGTTAAGTTTTGAAGAGTAATGACCTATTCTCAAGAAATTTTAAAAGGAAATTGGTTCTGATTAATCAAAAGCCTGGATGAATCCTGAGACATATGTTCATCCCCGATGTCTACAGTGAACAGAGTTTAGGAGCAGTTGCACAATAAAAATATTTAAGACCTAAGTTTAAGAGTTAAAATTAGGAGTATTTTATATTTAACGTAAGCTTGGTAGAGGAAAATTTCAAATGTAATTTTAAAGTAGAATTTCTTCTTGCCTTCCTTTGGTATTTTACCCATTAAAAAATTATTTAAACATAGAATTATATAAAGAAGAGGCATCCAATTCTATAGTAATTTGGAATGTTTATATGTGAAAAAAAATCAGAAACCAAGTGATAGATCTATAATACACAAATATATATATAAACATTTTATTTTTATAATACTCTTTATCACTTCAATTTAAATCATTCCATTATGAAAATGTCTTAATTGAAGAGAATATTTCTCAAAACTCTAAATTAAGCAGAGCTTTATCAACTAAATTTACAGCAACACAGTGTTTAGAAACACATGATTCTTCATTTTACAATACTTCCCTTTTAAAAATTTGTCATGTTTGTCACAGATTTAAAATACAAGGCACCTAATGCTATGAAAGGATAACACAGTATATGTAGTGTCAGTGAACCAGATCTTTTCTCAAATATTCTTTCTGAAGTCTAACCAAATTTGCATTACTTGACACGTAAATTAAACATTTTTTGTGTGAATTTGCAATAGTCTACAAAACTTAAAATATAATCTGTACCTATTACAGGCAGCTTAATTTAGCATTTTACCTGTAAGAAACACTGATCTACATACTAAACGATTTCTTGAAAACATTTTCATAGTATAGTCCAGCATTTAACAAATAATATGTGAAGATAAAGTCTCCAGACATTAGGATTATATCCCTTGATTAGTTCAGATTATTTCATCAGCTGAATTCCTTGAGATGCGTAAGGCAGGTGGTCCTTTAGATGGACTATGGACTGAAATTTCCTATAACTGTAGTGATGTGTACACAGCTATATAACAAAGTACTTCATCAGGAAAATGAAGAACACTGATATGAGGAAAATATATTTTAGAGTTCCAAAGAACTGAAACTATTATTTTTCAGACTAGGCACTGAAACATTTTTCTCCAAAACCGTGCCAGAGATTGTCTCTTCGCTATATAATGTTCCATTGTCAAGCTGAAAATAAAAACAAACACAAAAAAATCATCATTAGATAACAACTACCACAGCTTTCATTTTCTATAGTTTGTATTTTAAGGAGTAAATTACCTTTACATTGAAATATATACCAAACACAATATATATAGTGTATATAACTGGATACTGAACTTGAGGTGAGTCCTGAGAACTCATGAACATGAGTTCTACAGCATTCAGCACTATCAGAGGCGGACACCCAACACTACTTCAAGATCATGTGATAAGTTTAGTCACGTGTATTTCACCATTTCACCTGAGACAGACTTCCCGCACAACCTGTCCTACTTTATTGTAGTCCATTTTCTTTAGTCTTCACTATCTCCCCTTTATCCAGCTCTCACTTCCAAAAATACCGAAACTTTGTGTGGGGGTGAACATGAGTGTGAGTATGGGAATAGCACAGCACACTAGGGAGGGAAAATGCCTAAGTCATATCAATAAAAAGCTTTAAAGAATAACTAGGTATATATTTTTTTAATTTAAAGATGGCAAACACATATTAGTTCCACCTTGTCCCTAAAACCTCAGTAAAAAGACAATAAAGGGATTTTTTTTTTAAAAGGAATATACCACATGGGCAAAGAGAAGAGCAGAGACAAGAAAACAGTGGCTAACTCTTAGCTAGCAATGGAGAAATATGACCAGATATCTCTAAAGTGAAGACAAGCAAAAACAAGCAGATTGGTGCAAATTTTATAGATAAAGCAGTTAGACCCTCAGATGTCCTCCTCTTATTTTCACAGTTGGTGCCTCTGCTCTACCTCAGAAGAAAATCTGAGGTTTATTCCCTAAAATAAGTAGTAACAGAGGGTCTCTGGACTGGGGAAACGCCAAGCACATCCTATATGGCTCAGGAAAAAGCAACATTTGTATAGTCATAACAATGTAAATACTGATTATAGATCTACCCAAAATTATGCAATAACGATAGTGAGCTGATGAGGAGGAAGGAATGATATTGGGTTGGCAAACAGGCAAGTGGGGTGAGAGCAGAGGAGGGGGACACTTGAAAGTAACCTATCCTCATTTACCATAGTGGGAAAATCAGCTGAATATGCCTAAAACTGAGAAAGCAAGAAACAGAAGTATAAGCATGGTACTTAGAGCAACAGGGAGGAAAATATCAAGAGAATCCACTAGGAGTTCAAAGTGTCTCCTAAGAATGGGAAAAGAATGACCGCGGGATAGATGGGCAGAGCAGGAGCAGCTGCTCTGTGCAGGAAGTCCTGCAGAACCCCAGCTTCCGAACTACAGGCACGTGCAGCCATCATAACAGGCGGGAGAGGACCAACCACGGAGGAACACACAGCCAAGACAATTAGCTTTAGTTTACATGGGAATTCACCATGAAGAATTTACTTAAGCTCCAAGGTCTGTGTGAATGCGAGGAATTGCCAGAAGTTGTCCAATGTTCTAGGTGAGGAGGGAAACCCAGTTGCAATCAGGAAACATTTCAATCAGAGTTGCCTAAAGTTATCTTAGAAGAAAGGAGCCTGACTCTAGAGAATTTCAGCAACTTATTGTGATCTCTCATTCTAAATAATTACTTTTGTACCTGACAAAGAGAAATGTCAGGTATATTTCAAGCACTCATTCAGTGAAACATAAAATATAATGTACGCTTTCTGTCATGTAAAATATAAAAGATATTTCTTAAAATTTAAAAAAAACTGGGGAAATTTTCTTGAAACATTGGTAAATGAAAACGCATAGAAAATCAGGATGTACACTGTGCCAGTTATAGTAACACACATACATAGAAAAAAGACGGAATATACACAAAAGTATTACATTTTTCTAAATTTTATACTCAAAGAAAAAATACGTTTCTAAAGTATATCATTAAGTAAAATGATGACCCTGAGCATGAATAAAAGTAACAGTTAAAACTTGGAATCACTTAGTTTGAGTCAGGCACTAATATTGTACGTACTTCAAACTTACGAAGTGTTTAATATTTCTAACAAACTTAGGAGGGAGGTTCTATCGTAACCCATTTCTACAAACGAGAAAACAGAGGCACAGAGAGGTTAAGACGCTTGTATAAGGTCACACAACTAGTCAGGGAGGAGCTGGAACCGAAACCCAGGCAGCGTGACTCCGTGAGCCTCCAGGCTGCACCGCCTCTCAAACATCTAGCTGCGCAGACTCGGCTCTGCACCGAAGCCGCACAGGAACCAGCCCCGGCCCACACGGCGCCAGCCAGCACGCACCTGGGCAGCGGCTAGCTCGCTGCATCCTCCTGAGAGACGCCGTGCATGGCGATGAGGCTCTCGCACTGCTCGCTGTCCTCGGGAACCCTTGGAAAAAGGCAAGAGTGAAGGGAAGCTTTAGAGCTCAAAGGGCCCTTAAAAATATCCATACAAATGGCTGAAGCTGTGTGCTCAGAATAAGACTAGGACAAAATTCCTCAACAGTCTGTCCCAAGTTCTTTTTCTAGGAGAATGTGAAGACTTTCTCTCTTTAAAAAAACTGAAGAAGAAAATTTGAGGCAATGTTATCATATTTTATTATGAATTTTATTCAAACCAATAAAAGTTTTCTACATTTAAATTTGTTATAGCAAAACAGTAGGAACTTTGGTTTTACCTGTGAATCAAAACATTTTTTAAAAAAGTAGATCCTATCTTATCACCCAAAGGAGCTGAACAAATTATCTTAATTTCACCTGGCATAGCACATATATAAATTATAATCTTTCAATAAGTCTTCATAAAATCTCTAAAAGCTAGGCCAGCATGATATGATCCCCAGTTTATTTAGCAAACATTATTTTTTTAATAATTATATTGTAGCTAAACCTACCTCTGAATTCGATGTTTTCTGCATATAAAGGCAAAAATTCTCCTGATTCCCACCATCACAGGGTCCCAATTATTATAATGGCACAGGAGAGTTACAATAAAAAATGAAAAAAATACAGGGATAGCGCCTGCAAAAAATAACCAAGAAAACTGCACCTAAAAAAAAGAGATAGAAAAAATTCACCACAATTATCATGAAGACAATTTTCCCCTTTAATGTAAGTTTTCCTTTTATGAAAAGTTGCAGTAATAAGTTAAAACACCAAGAAAATAATACTAAGTACTGACAATGCATTGCTAAATGCATTATTATTAAATATAAGGATTCAGGACTTCGACATACTAACCACTTGCTTAAATTACCAACAAGAATATTTCTCACTCAGAAAACAGCCTAGAGGAGTCAGGAAGGCATGCTTTTCATTCATCAGGCAGCGCACTGCTGAGAGCAGAATTATGAAACTTTAAGTTTCTGTCTTACACATCACGTTGCCCATTTTCTCTCCACTGATTACTGCTTATCTCAAGTTGATCCCTCCCTTCAGTTTCTGAAGGCATCGTCAAAAACTCAAATTTTAAAAGACTATGTTATGCTTTAGTTATGATATGCTGTGTTGTTACAGTTCTTAAGTCAGTATTAAAAAAATTCTTAACTGCAACTTATATAAACCTTTTATTAACAATCTACAACAAACTCTAATCCTGACACTTGAAATGAGCTTGATTATTTAGTAACAAGTAAAAAAATTTCACAAGGAAATCAGGACTAAGTAAAATAAAGACTACAAACAGGATACTTTTACTAAGAAATGTGAGCCAGAAAAGATGAGCAGCAAGCCAAGCCTCAGCGGCGCAGTGCCTCAGACATCATCAGGTCTGATCCGCCATCCCATCATTTTATCAGCGTTGTCATGAAAATTAAAAATAATGAGATGCCAGAAATTACCAAAAAACAAAAACAAAAAACCATTCTTCTCTCTCAGTAGTTTACCTTTACCACCTACATTCAACTAAGATAAAAAACATCTCTTGAAGAAGCCTGCACTGATAAACTACCGACACTTATCTACAATACAACGGTGGTTGGCTTTCAAAATAATGATGAAAATATAACTCCTACCTTTAAAACAGGGAGAAAAACTGTGCTTGCCCTCTTTAAGAGTTAAAAAACAAGGTTTAGAATCACAGGCAAGACTCCCTCTGGTGGGAAACATATGCTATTTCATTTCACAGCACCGTGAGTCAGAGCAAAGGGGTTTTGTGGGAATGATGTTTTTATGAGGGACTCACAATGCATAACACATGAATAATCACTGACAGCTTTAACACGGACATCCTGCGTGTATGGTACACACACAAGCTGAGTCAGCCTAAGAACACCCAGGAAAGGTCAGTCAGTAAAAGGAAAGAAAAAACCTTCATGATATCAAATTATTGGTATAACAAATTCTTGGAACATTTCCCAGCATATTCAATAATCTAGAAAAACCATGATGCACCTAAATGACCCATGACCAGAAAAGTATGATAAACGTATGACTAATGAGAGCTAAAAATGCAGATATAGTTGACAGAATGATTTCATGAATATTCAGCTAAAAATCCTATTTTACAACTGAATTAAAGCAAACTTCATAAAGGTAAGTAAAACCCTAAAGAACTTTTAAAGGCAAAGTTCACTTTTAACAATGCAGTTGTGTGTTGCCACATAATAAAAAATTTTCTATTTGATTTCCAAGAAGCTAGGAAGGCTCTTTTTAAAAATGAAGACATTTATTAACAAAGAAAATTGCCCATATAAACAAAAATATGTCTAATTCCTAAATAAATCTGAATAAAAATCTGAATACAATCAGATATGGTTCCTATTATACAAAATATCAATTATAAATAGGTTAAAATAATCAATTTGTTTTAAGCACAATACATATTGTTCATAAATGCTAACACTTCAGAAACTGTATTTAGACATGATTGACTAATAGGATTAAAAAACCCAAGAAAGTGGATTTTTCCTATCATGCTTCTCATACAGCTCTGGGGCCTACCCTGCTACTTTTCCCATAGGTATCTTCCTACCCTCAATGCCTACCAGAGACTCAGCCTAGTCATTTAAATGGTTGCCTAATAATATATATGAAGATGATCCAGAAAAGGCCATTTGGTTATGCTTTTCTAATCAATGATATATTCATTTATATACACACATATATATCTATAATATGTGTTTTATATATATATACATTTTTTCTTTTCTTATGTTTTGCCTTCATCTTAAAATATTTGATTAAACAAATTATAATTTAATTAAATTAGATCCCATGACAATACTTTTTTAAAAATTCCCTAAAGTTAACCTTTAATTTTTGTTTTTCAAATTTACACAAGCTAATATTTTCAGAATATTATTAAAGTTCAGTTTCGCAGTGGTCTACCACAATCCTCTAAGAAGCAGCACTTCCCCCAGTTTCACTGAAACAATTTTGGTTGATAATCAAGATTACGACCCAAAATGTAGAAGGACCTGGATATTATTTAAATCCTTAAAAAAATCTAATATGTATAACTTTAGTGTCATATATATTTTATAATATTCACATTCTTTGAAAATGCATGGTACATAAGATAATTAATTCTCAATTACAGAGATCTCATTTTTAACTATGACAAACAAGGATTTACTGAACCACAAAACAAAGTTAATTATCATCACAGAATTTTTTTTTTAAATAAAGAAGATTGATATCATTGAAAGTATTTTGCCTTTATACTAAAAAGTGCACAAAGATCTAAAGAAAATTAGCTTTTAAAATCTGATGATAACTTTTATACATTATAAGCCTTTGGGCTTTCAAGTATTTCCTCTTCCAGTTATATTAAAACCTCCCCCCCCCCCAAACACATATACACACACCAATTTGTTACTTAAAAACTTACAAGTACTGAAGTGAGCGGTCCACGGCTCCACTATATCTTTAGATTAGCCAATGGCACATCTCTTTTGTCTGTTAACCCCTAGGAGTACTAAAGAAACATCTCCCTGCAGGCTGCTGGAAGGGACATAGATTCTCTTTTCTGCAATGTTTGCAATATTGCCAATATTTATCACAAGATTCCCATATCCAGGCCAGGACTTCATAGAGGAGGGAGGAAGCCCCCTGCCCTGCTAATTCAGATAGAAATGACCATTCACTGAGAACCAACACTGCTCATATGCCTCTCATATCTATAGTAGTATTAGCACAGTGTTAAGGAGTTTATCTTAGAAACCAAAACACTACTACTTATATGATAAAATACCCTTACTGCATACCACTGACTTACCAAAGAACATATGGAACATATCTGCTCCAAAACTAAAAAACTACATATGAAGTTACTGCTCTTAAGATAAAAAAATGAAAAGCTAAAAATGCAAGAGATCTCTTTCAGTACTTCTTACATCTCTATGTAGTAAAGCACCTTGGGAGAGAAGGCAGCAAGTATTATTCATGGTTGCATCCCTTGTAATTTAGTCACATCCCTTAACTTTCATTAGCTCAGTTTTTAATAATATACATAAAATATATAATAAATAGCTTGCCTTACCTTTTGCATACACATGTCAGCTATTATGGACAGAGGTATTGTAAGGCTTAGTGCAAGTGTGCCTATCAATGATGAGGTAAGAAAGCAGCCCCTAAAGAGGAAAAAACAAAACATACATTTCCATATTAAAAAAGTAAAAGGACCAAAGAAAAACAATGATCAAAGACAACCTATCATAAAATATAGATGTGAGAGAGCAAAAGCAAAAATAAAAGCTCAAGATGGACTGAGACATAATAAATAATAAAGTTACTAAGATAATTCTTAAGGTTTATCTTCAAATATTAAAAATTCAAATATATAAGTGTAAAAATTTTGAGGTATTTTATGCTACTTTCAAGATCTGCTTACAGATATTATTAAACTTTGAATATACAGATTTCCTTAAAATTTTTTATGAAACTGTGATAATGATATTTAGCTAACAAAGCAGGCAGCGTTATTAAAATTGTAGGACAATACCTCACAACACAGGCTTGAAGAAAGTGATAAGCCAACATGTGAGTCTATCATTAAACCAAAAATATCACATCCTCATGAGCTTTAAGTCTTTAAATGTGTGCTGCTCTTTTGGTTTGGCTTAGCATTGAAAAGAAAAAAACTGAGTATTTTTAAAGGATATTCTCTTGTTGTTTTCTATTTTTCTAGCAACTGTCCAACACCTGTATTATTTTCACCTTAAACTATCAATATTGGTATCAAATTTTAAAATATCAATCTGCATATAATTTTGTTCAGTTGAAGAAAAAAGAGAAAGCAAATAGATGAGCCATTTATAAAGACTAATAATTTGGGTAGATAAGAAGAAAATGAATTATAGGCCAAGATAAAAACCATAATATATATAATTAGGACTACAGAACCCATGGAAATTATAGGCAAGCAAATTCTAGCTTAGTATATGTTAGAATTAATAATGCAGTCCTGCAATTAAAGAGGCTATCTCTTGAAAGTGTCACTTGAAGTATTTAACAGAGGCTGGACAATTAGTTCTTATTGCTGCAGTAAAGAGAACTCAGGTACTAGTGGTTCCCACTACTCATGAGCTGCTCTGTGAAATGAGGGTTCCAGGATTAAATGAGTATATTTTAATGTAGCTTATGTTCTTAGAGATTTATAATGCAAAGTGGAATCATAAAAAGTCTGATAGGCTTGTTACGGTTGTTCTGACTTACCAACACCTAGAACATAAGGGCTATGTTTGTTTCATTACTTATTAACTTAATGCTACTGAGTTATTACTATGAGTCCTCTTAAACACTTGAGTGTAGAAGTGAATCTGGAAAATAAACCTTGAGGTCCTGAAAAATCCATCCTGGGCAAAGATAACACAGCTTTGATCAAAATATATGACTTTAGTGTCCAATGTAACTATTCAATAATAAGCACTCGTGATACACAGTAGGGAATATAAACTGTGTGCCCTCTGTGGAGGATGATTTTGCAATTCTCTACCAAAGTCTAAAGTCTACATGTTTGACTCAGTCTTTTCCACTTAGAGGCATTTATCCTATAGAATGCTAATATATAAATGCAAAGACATATATGAGAATATTCAATGCTATATTATTCACAAAGCAAAAGGCTGGAAACTTAAAATGTCTCTCAATAAGAAACTGGTAAAACACATTCTATCCACTCTGTAACATAATGGGTTAGAGTATAGTATTTTAAAATACTGGCTTTAAAAAAATGAATTGAATCTAAGTGCTGTTATTTGAAGACTGACAAGACAAACTATTTGTGAAAAACAGGAAAGTACAGAACAATATTCATAGTATGCTCCCATTTGTGTTGAAAATAAAACAAATTGAGGGGAAAATTAAGAGACTGATACACACTTCTGCAGTAGAGAAAGTATTATAAAAGGTTTAGAAGTTAATAGTGGCTGCCTCTGAGAAAAAGGAATAAACATTTGGGGGAGAAGGGAAATTTCCTTTTGATTGTGAACCCTTTTGTACACTTTTGTATGTATTACTCTTTTAATTTTAAAAAAGTTAAATAAAAAGAGAATAAAATATTATAAAACATGCTATTTATTATTTCTTTAAATGTAAAGTTTTCCAACAGAGCAAACTACAAAATCTCACATAATGGAGAGATTACACGTCACAACTCATATTGATCGTCCTCAAAGCGTACAGTAAATTCTCCTGAAAATAGTGAAACTCTATTGCATATGTTTAGTATTAAAATAAAACTCTAAATAAAGAATGAGCACTTGAATATCCGTAGGTGGTACAGTCCATGTTTACCATGGGTCTCTGCAATAATAATGTAATAAGGATCAAACTAAACCCTTCATTAGGCAAATATCCAAAGAAAAATGTAAGTATTTCTTTCAAATATGTAAAAGTGCTCTGCTTTGAAAATTTCCAATTTAAACTAAACTTAGAAAATTAGAGAATGTGAACTTGTATTAAAATACAATGAATACACATTATTTAAAGCAAATGGTTCACTGGGCTGAACCAGGCTCTCAAACAAGCAAAGTGAAAAATGGCTGAAGGTGAAGAATTACTGATACTTCAACAAAGTTCAATCAAAACACAACCAGTAAATAGTTTTATTGGCTCAGAACCAAGAGTGAAGACAGACAAGAGAAATGACAGAACAAAAGAAGTGATAGGACAAGAGATCAAGAGAGATATGATATATATTAAACTATAAAAGAAAATATGCAACTTTTTACTAAAAGAAGTTAGCACCTAAAATGCATGTAAAGAAAGGTGGGAAAAATGAATGAGTAAGTGGATTCTGAGATCAGAGTTTCAGAGTAGCAAAGGAACTTAAGGTAAGTACATAAGTTACTACAATACGAAGTAAATCTTTAAGTACCACATGGAAGAGAGTGAGTGTGGAGGATATCAAGAAAATAAGAGACATTTCCTTAACTGGGGGGGAGAAGGGAGTATAGGCAGAGCATAAAAAACCCTTCATACTAAAGACTATTTATGTTGCAGTCTTTTGCAATGAAAGGCTAGTCAGTAGTCTTACTTGTCATATAATAAAATTCGTTTAGCAGGTTAAGTACAATTTGGGTTTCTTTTTAAGTTCCTATTAGGTGGAAGCAGGACTAAGTATCAAGCTCTGTATTTGAAAGCTTTCTTAAACTCCATACATGATATTGTCTTCCAACTATTTTAGAATTATTATCACATATCAACATATTTGGTATGACAACATTTCAAAGTATGTTAACATGTCTAATCAGAGTTTAGGGTTTACATATGTCAGTCACCTGCATGAAAAGTCCCGAGAATAAACAAAACAGTCTATGAGCAACTAAAGAGACAAAGTCTCTAAAATAAGCAAAGGCTCTCAAACAAGCAAAGTCCCCATATTCTCACCAGAACTCACGTCATTAATACTTAGAAAACACATCTTGTAAGTTTGGATATCCATTAGATGATGCCTTTCATTTGCATAACACTGTACTTCCAAAAATACTCTATAGATTTAGATCATTCATATTCATTCATTCATTCATTTGAAATATTTATTGAGCTGCTTTTATGTGCAAAACAGTACTCTATACAATAGATAATTAGAAGTTAAAAATAAAAAACAAACCTCCCACTCTAATGGAGTTACTGTATTAAATTAAGTGTGTGGGGTAAGAAGGTCCATCAGGAAGGTCCATCAGAAGGAAAAAAACCATAAATACTTAAACTATCCAAAACTCACAAACTGATAACTAATAAATCAGAGGGTAATAAACAGTACATACCACAACCACAGGAACTCTGAGAGAACTGTTCCAATAAGGCCATTAATGATAATGCACATTAATACTACTTTATTGGGAAATTCAAAGTCCTCAAATCCAGTATAATGAAGTAAAAAGAAACCTGGCCATAAGAGCAGCAGATTAAACAGACCTACAAAACCTAAACATGTATAAAGAGACAAAAGTTAGTTTCTGTGATTTATTTTAAATTTCCAAACTTATAACTCTATACTTAGAAAACAGATTTTTACAAAGGGCTCCAACAGGTTTCCTTAACTGGAACTTCTGTTTCTTTTTTTTAAGTAAGTCGTGTGGATAATTCAGCACCAGAAAAAACTGAATCAAGCAACTGGTGGTCACTGAGTCTTCAAGGTTAAAATGTCCACAGTGTATGGAACAACTACTATAGGATAAACCACTTCAAACAATTCAAAAAGAAGGGTTAACTTTAGCTACTAATAATATACAGGGTGAAGCAAAAGTAGGTTTATAGTTTGAGCACGCGAAACAGAGTACATTCTTATATTATTATTGTATTGTTTTCCATATAAACACCTGTAAACCTATGTTTGCCCCACTCCGTATTATGCTAGAAGTTAAAGAAATAACTGGTGCATGTGTGTGTGTGTGTATATTCAACCTAAATTAATTATAAGGAATTGCATGGTTTGTTCTCTGACTCAACTCACAGTTCTGTTCAGCGCTCCTGTGCTATACTAGGAATAACAATGAAGGAAGGGTCCAAAACAGGCTAAAATTCTTGGTTCCCACCTTCCCAGAGCTCATTAGGTAGTTGGTGAGACGAAACACACACAAATACCTATTCAGCGAATGCTAAGCACAGACTACTTATAAGGAAGACTGAAAGTTTAGTGGCTAGAAGCATATGCTCTGCAGTCTGACTGCCCTAGGTTCTGATCCCGGCTCCACCGTTCACTAGCAGTGCAGACCTGAGGCAAGAGCAGAACCTCTTTTCAGCCTCAGTTTTCCAGTCTATTAAGTGTAAAACAATATTTAATTAGGTTATTGGAAAGATTAGACATAAATATAGCACAGTACCTAGAGAAGAGTAAATAGTTAATAAAGGCTAGCTGCTATTATTATTAAAATGTAAGTTTATATATGACTATATACATGCAATGACTAATAGTAAAGACTATAAAGAAAAGTTATCGTAATTTTATAGTAATTTTTATTGCACTTTCTATATAGTTTAACATCACAGATCCACTATGAGACCTGTGAGGTAACTATAGAGCTTTTATAAAAAAAGTTAAATCACAGTAGATATATTTTATATTGGCTGCTAAATAATAAACTAGTATTTAGGAAGCCCAGTTAAATCTAAACAAGACTGGAGCACCCACTCTCTATCTGCTGCTAAAGTCTTACAGCCACCCGTCTTCTCTAAAAAACTTCTTGGAGAGCAAACAAGTCTGCTTTTCCCAGGAAGTTCCCACCCCTGCGTACCCTACGCCCTCTGCAGTCAATGACTGCGCTCAGAAGGCAGGCCCTGGTGGCTGAAAGCCTAATGGCCCAAGGCCAGGGCATCTCTAAGGAGTACCTAGACATTACCCGCTGCCTCCCAGCATACTTCTCTATCCTGCCTCTCTCACTCCCTTGCCAGTTTTTCCTGCAGAGCACCCCCTCAATAAATCATCCACACTAAATCCCTATCTCCTCCTTGCATCTAGGAAACCCAATTTAAGACATCTAGTGATAAAAATCAAATCAAACAAAATGACACACATACAGAAGGGACTTGTGATCTAAAAGGCTTGCATTACATTAAAAAGTTGTAATTAAAATACCAAAATTTGGTATTATCAAGAACCAAATCTATCTTCTGGTCCCCGAACTATCAAGCCTATGAAATCCCACATAAATTAACAATGTTGGGTCTTACAGATCGTTTCATCTATTCTCCAGACCCTCCAGAATCTGGCCTACACACCTTCCTGTTCTTCCTAAAGTGAACGTTTCAGCACAATCACAGATCTACTCCTTGCTCGCTACCATGCTCTCACTTCCCCATCCTAAGGAACCCTCCACATTCCACTCAACTTCTTTTCTAATCCCTTCAATTCTAAAGCTCAGGTCAAATCAATACTGCTTTCCATATTGCATCACATATGAAGACAACTAATCAAGTTACATGTCTATGTGCATTCTATTACATTAAGCAATTTTTCTTGAAAGTTGCCAATCTTAAAAAAACAAACAAAAACACACCAAAAAATTAGCATTTCACTCCATTACAGATGGAATTTTCTATGGCTCTAAAATAAGATTATTAAAATGATCACTCAGTTTGGTGGCTTTTCAAGTGTTTTATTTTTGTTAATCTTTAGTAAAGACAATCAAACTGCTTTTAGCAAAAACATCTTTTCTACAACTTAAATGATAAGGCACAAAGCCAGCAAAGCAGAGCTGTTCCAGGGGAAGCAGCAAAGGAGTCCAAAAAGCAGGCCCACACAAACAACTCCACGTCCTACCAACCTGCCCAGAAGCCTTTGTAAGTCAGCTTGGCTACTCATCTAATCCACGTTCCTCATTTTCAGTGAGTATAAGATAACTGAAGTTATAACAGCTATATTCCAGGCCTCCTGATTCCCTGTAAGCTGTACTTTGAACCCTCATCTCCAGGCTTCTTTATCTATTGTTATTCCGGTATTTTTTGAAAGATAGCCACACACAGCCTATAGATAACACAAGTTTTTATTGAGCTGATTTTTGGCAAAGAGAATTTATAAATCATATCAGGTATTTTATTTCCCAAAATTAAGAATGGATGGCAGAAAGTATAATTGGGTAATTTGAAAAATCTATGTCATGAAAGAGTTCGACTCTTAACGTACAAATGGAAAAGCCTTATATGGCCCACAATTTTTAATGAAAATAAGTACATAGACCTGAACAGTATTATACATATCATTTGGGGGCAGTTTCTCCAATCCTATGCTTCCAACAATTAAAAAATGGCAAAATACATAACACAACAGGTATACTCCCACTTGCTTATAACAGCATGATTCTATCATATCAGTGAGGAAAATATCTGATTCACAGACTGAAAACATTAATGCAAAAAAGGCAGTGGAAGGCATTTCTTTCTTTACCTCACTTTGAGAAAATGTGCAATCCCTCACAGGTACACAACTATGCAGGACAAGGTAAGAGAAAAACACTGAGACTGGACTTAATGATCTTTAAAATCTGATGGTTTTAAAGAATTATATAGGGGATGGGAAGGCTTTTTTATTCCCTCCAAAAACCAAAAACAAAACCCTAAGTTAATCATTCAGAGTAAACAGCCTCACAAGTTAAACATATTCTTACCAAAGAACATCGGAATATCCAACTTATCTTCTCGATCTACTTTTCTCTTAATCATAACAATATAGACGGCATAGAGCATGGCTCCAGCAAGAGACCAAATGGAACCTGTAAAGATCCACATAATGATTTAACACATTTGATCATTAACTCATTCAACACACATGTATTTAAAATCTAACAATATGTCAGATCCTGTTTCAAGAAACAAGCGTAGGAATAAGAAAAGGTAAAGTGTAGCCCCCCCTTTGCCGTCCAGGAGTACAGCAAGGGGTTTAAAGTGAAAGCAAACATGCACATTCACCTCAATGATCTAACCAAACACTAATACATGTCATGATACTAAAATTTACGTAAGCAACATTTTCTTTTTTTCCAAACACATCTTTATTGATTTCAGAGAGAGGAAAGGAGAGGGAGAGAGAGAGAGAAACATCAACGACGAGAGAGTCACTGATCGGCTGCAGCCCGCAACCCGGGCATGTGCCCTGACCAGGAATCGAACCCTGATCGCCTGGATCCTAGGCCGATGCTCAACTGCTGAGCCACGCCCGGCCGGGCAATATTTTCTTTTTAAATCTTGAAGTATACACTTCCTATTTCCCCTGCATAAACAATCTTGCCACCTAACACGGTCCAGCTTTAACAATGCTCCTTTCCCTATTACATGTGTCATTTTTAACACATAGTCCACTACCATCTTCACGGCCCTGTTAAAGTCCCATCTCTGCCACAAAGCATCCTCCTTCTCCTCTGCTGAACTTCCACCCTACCTGTCTTCTATTTTAGACAATTTACTACTTACTAAAGTTAAATGTGGTATAATTTTATTCTCTAGTGGCTTCATTTTGTAAATCTCATTTACTGATTACTATCAAGTATTTCTTGAAAACCACAAACATCTAGTTTATACTCTTTAATGTTCCAAAATATCTAACATAACACAGGGCTCACAGTACATGCATAATAAATACTGATCCTCTTTAATGTAGTAACTCATTCTCAAAAACATTTCAGTAAGCCTTTAAAAACAGCTAAATAATGTGCTTCTGCCAAGTGACCATATTCAACACTTTAATCAATTATCCAAAAGTCCAATGTCTTATTAAATCTGTTTATCATCAAACTTTAAAAATAGCAACAGAAAAGCCTGTCAAGCAAATCTCACACACACAAATACATATAATGTTTTACACATACAAAACTGTCCTAGGTGAGAAAGAGGTAAGGCAATTCAAGACACAACTAACTGGACAGTAACTAGGAATAGTTTAGGAGTATTCTATTCAATAAACTTCAAATATCTAAAGTATCCAGAGGAAAACCATTAAGCTGGGTTCTGATTAACATTCTTTCTGTAAATCTAAACAATAGATCAAAAGCAAGGGGAAAACCTGTCAGACACCACCATAAGATTAACATCATTAGTAATGCCACTAGTAACATCAACATCATGTGTCTTTTGAGGCAATGTCCTGATCAGAACATAGTATCACTTCCATGGTATTCTTTCCATAAAGGTACAACATAAATTTAACCATAAGGAAATATCAGACAAACCCAAATTGAGAGACATTCTACCAGACAACTGGAGAGTATCCTTCAAAAGTGTTAAGGTTATAAAAGACAAAAAGAAGACGGAGGGGTAGTTCCAGATTGAAGGAAACTAAGGAGACATAAGCAAATGCAACAAGTGATCCTGGATCAGAAAAAGAACATTAGTGGAAAAATGATGAAATTGGAAAGGGATTACAGACTAGATAATATAATTCTAATCAATGTTAACTCCTGACTTTTATAACTGTTTTGTAGTTATGTACAGAGTTAACAGAGAATCTGGGTGAAGGCTATATGAGAATTCTGTGAACTATTTTTAAGTTTTTTAACATTACTTCCAAAGGAAAGTTTTTTTCAGGAGGCCCTGTTAGTGCCCACCCTCTGTGGGTATGTGATGATGATATGCACAAATTTTTCCTGTATATTCTAACAGAAAGAATGCACCATCAGATACTTACCTATTGTATTTCTTCCAGCAGATTTTTCAGGCCCTGACAGGTTTACCAGCACAACACCTCCAATGCTGAGAATAACAGTCATTACTGATGAGTAAAATAATAAATCCCTTAAAAGGACTAATCATAAAGATAAAAATTATTTATAACTGATTAAGACTAATTTTGAAGTAAAACTGTCAAAGAACTTGTGATTTAATTAATTCCTAACAACATTATTAGTATAAAATAAGAGCTATAGTATTAACTCATTTAATCCACACAAAATGCACATGACCTTACAAGAAAGGTATTATAGTGCCATTCCCATTTTACACACGAGAAAACTAAGCACAAAGAGAGGAAGTACTTGACCAAAATCACACAGCTGAGATCTAGGAAGTCCTCCCAGAGAGTTTAAGGGAAGTGCCCAGCGACACAGAGCACAGCTATGATTCAAACCTATCTGATAGCTAATACCAGTCTCTCCATTAAATCATTCTGGTACTTTCTCTGATTTCCAATTTTCTCTCACAATAACAATAGCTTTATCAAATCAACACAAATCTTTTTTGAGTACTGTTGGTGAGCAAAGCCCAAGCTAGGCCTTTGGTGACACAAAAGTTTTGGCTTTCAAGGGTTTACAATCTCATAGGAAAGAAAAGACAAACATGCACAAAGTTAAATAAAAATAAAAGATTTAAATGTAGTTATTAACAATGTTAATGCTACACAGTAATATAAAATGGCCAAATAAATTATACAGAAAATAAGTGAGAGATTGAGGCTGAGACAGTAAGAGAAGACTGCATGTTAGATTTCTAGAAGTGGAAGGAGTAAAAATCAAAACCCAAACAAAAAGAGGGACTTGTTTTAAGGAAAGAAAATGGAAACTTGGGAGGTTATGGACATTAAGTTTCCACATTAACTTAAATGTGAACGTCAGTACAATACTTAGGGAGTATGCGGTCACATAAATGGGAAACCAAAGCTGCCTTGGGTCCTTCCCTCACGTTTCCCTCCCCAGGAAGGTGTAGAAAATTAGTCTAGGATGTGACACATGACTGAGCAGCATGATTTCCATTTAAAACTTTCTTCTACCCTCACCTTCTTTGCCTATACAGTCTACAATGTAAGTTAATCTCTCACCACCAGAAACATTTTAATCATATTTTTAAAAATTTATCTTTATTGTTCTAAGTATTACAGATGTCCCTTCCCTACCCCCCGCCCCCCTCTGTTGACCCCTTCCACCTACTCCTTCCCCCTCCCCAAGCTTTCACCGCACTACTGTCTGTGTAACATTATATTTTTAAACAGTGTAAACAAGCTATTTACATTATATTCTTACCTTAAAACTACGGCTAATAGTTTAGAAAGAGTAAATCTATCCCCACTGTTACTTGGAAACACTGCAGCAAGGATTAAGGTAAAAAGTCCTATGGAGAGAAAAAGGTGAAAAAAGGTACATTGACTTAAATACTGTCAAAATTATTTACTATCAATTTGATTTTTTAAATAAGTTAATTACACACCTAACTTTTAAACTAATTTTTGTCATTTTTAAATAACTAAGACTGCAGTTACCTAGGCTGAAATGTTCAAACAGCATACACAAAAACAGCCACTAAACTAAATAAAGCATGTTTATTTCAACAATGCAGACCAAGTATAGCGCTATTTTTTTAAACTAAGGAGAGTTAAACTGAGCATTCAGAGTAACGTTTTCACCTCTTCATAATCAAGGCCTGTATGCAAAGTTATTTTTACAGCTTGAAAACACTTCTGTTATGTTCTAGATTTAGAAGGTGATGAAATTTTAAAAATAAGAACACCTTTCATAGGGTAAATTACAGTTCTAAGATAAGCAATTACATTTAGCCAAAGAGTCTAGAAAAAGATCTTTGGAAAGAATAGGCAAAAGATAGGACAACTATAATACAAAGAGCCAGCATATTAGTTAAAAAAAAAAAAAATGCTGCAAATTATTTGTTAGAAATATACACAGTACAAGGCTATGACATAAAACTATAAAGATTGAGAAGTAGTTACAATATACTAACGTAATGATAAGCAATGAAATAATTTATAACTAGATAAAAATGTGTATATATGTACACATGTATATATTAGAAATAGGTATCAATTCATAATGCAGATTTTGAAGATACACTTCTTACCAGAAGTTGAGGACAAAATATTAACAATAGCAACTTGTGTGTCTGAAAGTGCTTCTTGATATGACAAATTTGCCAAAAACCACTAAAGAAAAAGAAAACAAAGTGAAACCTAATGCATGATAGGTTTATATTTGCCATTACAATTTAGAATCCCTCTTTTTTCTCCCCCAAATACGTTATCATGAGAGGTTTTATCTGCTTTCTATTGAAAAATCAGTGATCCAAAAGAGAGAAAACCTTTATAATCAGACCTAAGATTTTTTTCCTTTAAAAAGTTAACAATAGTTGGTTAAAAATCAGCATACAGGTCTTTTTTACAATGAGGATAAAATTTAGTATCAACTCAGCTTTAAATTTTCTTTATCCAAGCACTGCTAGCACTCTATTGTTTATATAAATCAAATTTAAGTTGGGAGAAACTCTCAAACATTAAAATACATACAAATGAACACAGCATGATGAGAAATGAATAAGATGATGCCTATGGGGATGCACAGAATTAACTACCCAGCTAGAATGTTGGATAAAAGGCTATATTAAATGTCCAAGAAAATTGTGAATTTACTGGCTAGTTGTGACTGATTCTCAGTTTAGAGACACAATACAAAGAGTTCTCACAATCTTAGACATAATAAAGGAAGTTTTCCACCTATGAGAATTTTTTTTTTTTTCCCTTTTGCTCATCTAGGCTAGGATATTCTTATATTCCCAACACTGTGCCTACTTTGACTTGGACAATAAGAAATAAGGCCTCTTTTGATGAAGCCTGGTGTGTATATATGTGTGTGCGCGTGCATGTGCGTTTCCAAAGTTCAGTTATTCTCACTGCTATGCTAATCTGATGCATATTACCACAACTCATCCATTTTTCTTTTTTGCCTATTTCAAACAACGCTGCTCGGAGCATTGCAGTGTATGCCTCCTGGGACATTTGTACATGAGTGTCACTAACATATCTACTAAGAAGAAGACTGCTGAGTCTAAGTAAATTAACTACTGTCTGTTTTGGCATCTCTGTTACTTAAATAGACTGGATAATCATAGTCTACTGAGGAATGACTTGTCTCCATGAAGAGGGACCTCTCAATCTCTCTCAGAACTTGTGAGTAGTATAATTATTAGCATTTACATTTCATTTCTATGAAGCAAAAAAGACACATGATTTTAGAGCACTGCTAAAAGGTAGCAGACAGCTGAGAGTCCAGTAGTCTCCATTCAGCCTAAACTGTACCTCAAGGCTAAAGCCAGGATGAAACTACGGCAAAGTTATTCTGATTCTGCCTGCAGTCCTCTGACTGCCTAGATCAGTGATTTTCAACCAGTGTGCCACAATCATTTTTAAAACATGCAGCACCTAACTAGGTAATTTCACCTGACTATCTAAGGAAGAAAATGAAGTAGCAACTGGTGAGATGGGCAATATCAAACTTACACAACAACAGGAGCCACAATTTACTTGTAGTTGAAATGCTAGAAAAGAGGCAAAGATTCTGCCCTTAATTATCTTTTGGAGATTTTCTGCAAGAATAGATAATGCTCATTGGGTGATAATTAGCTTTCTTGACCCACTTTCCTTACCATTTTAATACTTAAACATTGTGCTCATTTTCTGAACAACCTCACTAGTCTCTGCTAATGCAAGATAAAGAAATAAAAACAGAACACTTAGATGGCAGGCATTCAAAGGCCATCACAACTTATCAGTAGCTATGAAGTCTTTCCAGAAAGACCTGCCCATTCTCCACCTCTCTCAAAACTCCATTCTCTGGCTCTCAAATCCATAGCATTCTCATCACAAAAAAGACCCATCTAAAATACCCTGCAATAAAATTATCTTTACAATGTTTCCTTTCATTGTATTCAGAGTTAAGGACAACCACTTACTAATAACTAATCTATCACAAATAATTCATACAATACTTATTTCATGAGTGGTCATTTGTTTTTAAGTTACCATAAAAGGTATTCTTGATGTAGTATCTCCATGTACAAAAATTAATTCAAAATGGATCGAAGACCTAAATATAAGGTCTGAAACAATAAATTACATAGAAGAAAACATAGGTAATAAACTTATGGACCCTGGTCTTAGAGAGCATTTCATAAATTTGACCCCAAAGGTAAAGGAAGGGCAAAAATAAACGAATGGGACTATATCAAACTAAAAAGCTTCTGCAAAGCAAAAGAAATCGCCAACAAAAAAGGCAACCAACCGAATGGGAGATACTTGCAAACAACAACTCCGACAAGGGGTTAATATTCAAAATACATATATATATATAAAGAACTCATACAACTCAACCCCAAACAAACAATCCAATTAAAAAATGGGCAGACGACCTAAACAGACAGCTTTCCCAAGATCACATACAAATGTCCAAGAGATATATGAAAAGATGTTCAACTTCATTAGCTATTGGGGAAATGCAAATCAAAACTATAACGAGATACCACCTCACACCTCTTAGAGTGGCTATTATCAAGAAGACAAATAATAACAAGTGTTGGAGAGGCTGTGGGGAAAAAGAACCCTCATATACTGCTGGTGGGAATGTAAACTAGTACAGCTACTATGGAAAACAGTCTGACGGTTCCTCAAAAATTAAGAATAGAGCTATCATATGACCCAGAAACCCCTCTTCTGGGGATCTACCCAAAAAACTTGAAAACAATTATTTGCAAAGATATATGCACCCCTATGGTTCATTGCAGCATTATTCACGGTGACCAAGACATGGAGACAACCAAAGGGTCCTGGGTTAGAGGACTGGGTAAAGAAGGTGTGCGACATGCACACGATGGAGCACTACTCAGCCATGAGAAAGGATGAACACTGCCATTGGCAACAACATGGATGGGCCTTGAGAATATCATGCTAAGTGAAATAAATCCGTCAGAAAGAGCAAAGAACCGTATGATTTCACTCATACGTGGAATAGAAAACTGAAACTTGTGGACACAGGTAACAGTATATGGTTACCAGAAGGAAGAGGGTGAGGGGTAGTAAAGAGAAAAGGGGGGCAATATATGGTGATGGAAGATGATCTGACTGTGGGTGGTGGGCACACAGTGCAATATGCAGATCATGTATCATAGAAATGTACACTTATAACCTATATGATCTTACTAACCAATGTCGCTCCAATACATTTAATTTTAAAAAAGTAGAAATTAAAATTGAAATAAAAACTGAAAGTGAAACAGAAATTGAAATGCTTAAAAGATTTCAGTACAAAAGAATTTAAATTATCTCATCAATAATTTTATATTAAGAATGTTGAAATATTTTATATATAGTGGGTTAAATAAAAATACAGCACAGTATTAAGATTAGCTTCACTTGTTTCTCTTTTTTTTTTTAACTTGGGTACTAGAAAATTTTTAAGTACACACATGACCTGCATGTGAGTCTCAGGTTATATTTCTATTGAACAGCAGATGAGGTCAGCTCTAGACCTCATTTGAGCTTATCACTCTATTAAGTTAGGTTTCCAAAAAAGCTATAGACCTGGACTACATTACTTTCTGCAGAAATGCTTTTACTAAAGACTATCATAACTCTCTGCTCTTATAAGTTACTTAAGGTTGATTTTTTTAAAAATGACTATTAAAGGTGGAAGTAACCCAGTGTACGTCAACAGATGAGTGAATAAACAAAATGTGGTACATATGTACAATGGAGTATTAGTCATCCTTAAAAAGGAAGGAAATTCTGACACATGCTATAAAGACGTTATGCTAAGTGAAATAAGCTAGTCACAAAAGAAAAAGTACTGTATGATTCCACTTATATGAGGCACTTAGAGTAGTCAAATTCACAGAAACTAGAATGGTGGCTGTCAGGGGATGGGGGAAGTGGGCAAAGGGAGTTATAATTTAATGGGTATAGAGGTTTTTTTGTAAGATTAAAAAAAGAGCTGTTGATGGATGGTGGTGATGGTTGCACAACAATGTGAATGCACTTAATCCCACTGGAGGTACACTTACCATGGTTAAGATGGTAAACTTTATGGTATGCACATTTTACCACAATATTTTTAAAAGGCTATTATCTGCACATATCTATCTGTAAATTTGCCATACAGAGTAGTGCCTCAATGCATTCTCTCAGAGTTCTGAATTAGGAAAAAGTTTGCTTTATCCAATGAAGAAGAGATACTTCCTTTTAATAGACAGTGAGCTGTGTGACTCAGAAGGTTTCCCTTTTGCCTTCTTGCCAATTGCCTAGGGATGAATTGTGTGCTCACCTGAAAGAGCTCTCATCTTTTAAATCTAAGTGCCTGATAGGTCATCCATTCTATCGCCAGCTTCCTCCACGCTGCCCTGNAAATCTAAGTGCCTGATAGGTCATCCATTCTATCGCCAGCCCCACCCCCAACCCCACACATATTACATGTTTAATCTGGCTCTTATCTCCCCCTCCCCCTGCTTTTTTAAACTTTTACTACATAGATCTTTTTATTATGTTTCAACTCAGGTTTTATTTGAAAATTAGGTTACATATAATTAATAAATCTTAGTTTTGCCTTATACTCATTTAAACTAAGATATCACAACAAAAACAAACAGCAAAATCAAAATACATGAGCATTTAAAGTTATTACTTATACAATTATCATATTTCAACTCCCAAAGATTTCTTGATTCATATTGTTGAATATAATTAATTAAGGTGTCACTAAAACAGAGGTTATTCAGGTAGAGGATGGAGGACAACAGGCTATGCAGTAAGGAGAGGCAAATTGTGAAGTAAAAAGCCTTATAAACTGGGCTAATAATATTAACATTAGCAATGCTCAGTAAAAATTTAAATCTTAAAGGCTCATGCTAAATAAACTTGAATTAGGCGACTTCAATGATATATATATGCATGCTGAAATACATTTTTTAAATTCTAAACTTCAAGAGTTTTCACAAACTCAGATAAGTCTCTAATTCCAGTTTAACCCAAAATAATATTTTATTTGCTATATGATTATTCTTTGTGAAATCTTAAGACAGTTTCAGTTTGAGAGGCTATCAACAATATTACAAAAAATTCCATAAAAATGTTTACTACGAGTATTTGCTAAAATATCTGGCCATATTTACATGAATTTAATATAAAACTGTAAATACACTGTTTGAAGAAATCTATACAGTAAACTCTTATCTGGCTATTTACTAGCCCTTGTATACAGCATAGCATAAAATAACTCTCTTCATTATTCTGACCATGAGTCCATGCTCGATTCTGAATATATGAATAGTTGTAGTGTTAAAATATGCATTAAATTCTCTGAGGTATGACAAGCATTTATTAAGTTCAGCACTCTAATTCCCAATGATGCCAATTAGCAGCGTTTGAAGCCATGATTAAGCAACCTAAAAGTCTTATACTTCCACAGTTGGTATGTATGCTATCTTAAAATTCCAGTTCCAAACATATAATAAAGAGAAGACCTACCACAAAGCAAAAAAAAAAGCTAATTTTTGCTACTTGAGTTGCAGTAAGTTTCCCCACAGTTTTGAGTAAGGATTCCTGCTCTTTCACAGTAGGATGTGACATGCGAGACAACTTAGCTTCCAACGCGTGGCTTGATGGGAGCTGTCGAATCTCCATGATATTACTGAACCTTACACGAGACTTTTTGGGAGCTTAAAAGAAAAAGTACATACAAATCATTAAATGTTTCTCCTTACATCGAACGAAAGTCAGAGGTCTTAATTTACTAATATATGCATATTATTAAATCCATCTATAATCAGACTTGAACAAAGAAAAAACAGTTATATCATCACCTGGGGCAGCTTTGCTCATTCAAAATGTTAACAGAAAAAAACGTTTTCATCTATAAAAATGTTTTAAAGGTTTAAGGTAAGACCAATATTCAAACAAGATTTCTGCAACTGTATACACACACAACTGTCTAGTTCAGAATTATAGTATGATTATCATTTTAACATTTATAGTAAAACCTGGGATTTTTCCTCACTGATACTCAATTTAGGAGAATTACTTTCCAGTTGAGCATATGGAATATTCCTCTATATGTCCATACCTTGCAAAAGAACATTATGGATAAATATTGTGCCCCTTATGTTGAAGCTGGTATTCTTTAGTCGATTCACAGAACCAGCAAAATTCCTATAATTGGCCATCAAGTTCTTTGACGGCATGGTTGAAGAGAACATTACATATATACGTAACAAAAGCATAGAGATTTCTGGTATTTGGAAATTATTTCCAGTTGAACTGATAAAAACTTCCAGTCAAACTTCTGGAAGACTACAAGCAAGCCAATACCTTGTGGAACAGAAGAACTGTCAGGTGATCCAAAAAATCACTAAGTTTTGGGATGGTGTGAAGAAAGTGATGATTCCCACCCATTCTAAAGCTAGGAAATTCTAAGTATTGCTTACTTTTTTCAGTATCAATGCTTGTGTTCTCAGGTTTTTCACTAGGGAGATCATGAAATTTCACAGGAACATACAGAGGTTCACTCTGGACCATAATAGAAACAGAAACAAATATAAACAAAAATATTATAGCTGATATATTGGCTAAAATTTAAGTGGATGGTTTGTACGTAGATACCAGCCAAAACATGGCTGTTCACCATGTTTTTACAGCACAATTTTCCCAAAGTGTATTTTTAAGATTTAAAAAGGAAACTCAAATGATTCACACAGGTACAATGACAGAAAAGAATCAGTTTAAAGTTTATAAGTGTAACAATATAGCACTGGTATGTTCTGATACTTAACACTTAAATGTCCTAAAAGCAGACCTCTCTCTCAACTAACAGTTTATCTCCCATTCCTTTTCATTCATTATTTTAACAAATACATACTGAGTTCCACTATGTCAGGTGATGTCCTAGGTCCTAGGGATATAAGAGTGAATAAAGACAGTATCCTCAGTGATTACGTAGTCCAAAGGGGAAGGCAGACAATAAATAATCACCTGTTATATATAGTATATATACATATTTTCCAAATTGTTTCTCTTATTACTTAAGATACAACAAACACAAAAAGTTGCTGAAAACTTTTTTAGCATTAATAGATAAGAAAAAGTAGGTACCACTTACAAGTTCTTACTATGTACCAGGCACCAATTCCAGAGCAGTTAGACATACATTTCTCATTAGTCCTTGCAATACCCTTATAAAACGGTATTTTAAAGGAACTTTTCTAGAAGCTGAGATATAATAACCCAGTGGTAGAAAATAGAATTAAAGCCAGATTGTCTAACCATGTTCTAAAGGTCTACAGTGGTTCTAAATTCCTCAACTGTTTCTGCAAATATTGTTCAGATGATCTATATTTAAGGAACAATTCTCCAACTAGAGTGTTTCTTAAATTTACATAAAATTGTGTCTTATATTTTTCTCTTTTAACTCCTGGTACAGAACTCCGCCATGAAAAATACTGAGTAAATGAAGAAACAATAGGACCTAGAAATAGATAGTCTCTTTGTTGCATTGAATTTTTCATTATAGCATTTGGCCTAGACCAATCTGACATATCCATCTTACAGATAATAGCAAAAATTAAAAGAAGAGTAGTTAGGAGAGTGGGCTGCTATCTCAGCTCTGCCTTCTACACTGCAAGAGATAACTGATAGTAATCTTGTTGATGATTAAGATCCCGGAGAAAAGAAATGACATTTTCTCTTAGCTTCATAAACTCTTCACAGCACCTGGTAACCTTCTCTGCATACAAATGTAGTTCTAGAAGCCAGACAAACAAAAAACTGTACTGTCAATAAGGTCCACCAAACTAGTGCTTCACAAATTGGTATTAAATTTTAGAGCAACTTTAAAATTCTTCTCAGACAGAATGCCACATTTTGGACACTACATTAAAAAGAGATGTTTTAGTGATGGCCTAAAAAGAATAGATTTTTATATACTATCTCCCCAATGAGCTTATAAATGCCTAAAATATATGAATTACTTTATTTGTTTATTATCTGTCTCCTTCTCATTCCCAAACTTACGCTCTCACACACTAGAATATAAGCTATATTATTATNTCTCCTTCTCATTCCCAAACTTACGCTCTCACACACTAGAATATAAGCTATATTTTTAGAGTCAANTTATTATAAACAAATGCTTAATACATATTAAACACTTAAAAATTTGTAGAATAAAAACTCTGCTTATATATTCTCAGTGTCAAGCAAATACATGTGTTTCTAAGTGATAATAATATAATAATAAACATGAAGTGACAAAGTTAGTAAGAAACAAAGGACAAAGCGCTGTCTCTTTCTTTACTATTTTCACTCCTTAACTATTTCCCTTCCTCTTTCTCCCTCATGGTGGCTGAATCGCTTACTTTTTGGCCCCAGGTATCCCTAAGGAAAGAGAGTACCAAACTGAAATAATCTTGGAGAGTCTCCCCCCCCCGCCCCCACCAATATAGCTGTGTGTAATCAGAGCTATTCAGTCCTTCCCACCATGGCTCAACTCCACCCGCTCCATTCCTGACAAGAAAAGAAGCACTTACCAAAGAACTATTCATAGTTGTATCTGTTGTGCAAGCAGCAAAATAACCTTCAGCATCTGCAAACTACAGATAACAGGACAAAAAATTCAATTAAACTCATGATAAAGTAGGACTAGTGTCAGTCACAACTCAAAAGAATAAAAAATCCAGAATAGACCTATAAGACTATAACTATTATTAATAATAATAGCAGCTAATGCCAAGTATTCAACCATGCAAGGTAGGTATTATCATCTTCATTCTAAAGACACTGAGGCTGAGAGATTTCAACTAAGTAACAGAGTTGGGATTAAAACCCAAGGTAGTCTAACTCTAAAACGTATGCACCTTTCACAATACTATTATAATATTTTAGATTAGTAAGGAAAGGAAAGAACGAGTGGGTTAGTGAAAACGACATCTTTGCCATATCATGATAACAGTATTAAGAGCTCCCTAAGTGGATCTCAGGGACTGGACCACACTCTGAGAATGCTTTGCCAATGCTGTACAAGCATGATCCTACTCACACCCACAGTTACACTACCATCATCCCTGCTCGAAGTCTCAAAAGGTTAAATAACTTGCCCAAGGTCACACAATTAGCAGTGATAGAGCAAGATTCAAACACCAGAGCCCATGCTATTAAGCATGCTTGTAAATCATCAAGAAAAAGTCAATGTAGAAAAATGGACAAGATGTAGACAACTGACAAAAGAATTCTATTGTGCAACAAATATATGAAAAAGTAACCAAACCATGCGTATTAAACAAGATGCCACTGATCACTTATCAAGTTGGCAAATGTTGGGGTTTTGGTAAGGGTTCGATCTCATATACTGCTAACAGAGATAACTAAGACTAAACTTATTTAAACTTAAATAGGTACAACTATAAGAATAAACTTATTTCTGCTATAAATAATTTTAAACTATATTTGCATAAATACATAGCTATAGATAATGTCAAATATTTACAGCAGCCCTAGAATGGTGAGATCATGGGTAGACCATTCTTGTTCTTCTTGTCACTATAATTTGTCTTCAGCAATAAGCATCTATTGCTACTACAATTAACAAATGCATAATGTTAGAAGTGTTCTAGTAATACCAAATTACACAGAAAGCTGTTCGTGAGAGCAGGTTACAAAACAGGACATAACAGTAAATTGCATTTTTGTAATAAATGAAGCAAAAACGCACACATGAAAAATAATGGCAGGATATATGCCAAAATACTGTCAATGGTTATTCCTTGAATGGTAGAATTTATAATTTTTTCTTTTGGTCTGTCTATATTTTATAAATTTTTGACAATGTACCTGTGTTAATATACATATAACATTCCTACATGTAACACTATAACGTATATGCATTTCTATAATATATATGTATTACTCTTAAAAAGCAATATAGATATACACACACATATTTTTCACAAGTTACATTTTTGTGCACATATAAATGTATCCTTCCAGGCCTTACCTCAAAAACAGTTATTGAAAAGCCCTTGAAAAAATCAAATTAGTACATTTGTCAAGAATGTACTCATTAGATAAAACAAGAAATAATAGTATTTTAACCCACAAAAAAAGTAGACAAAAGGAAAGGAGTAACAGAGACAGAAAGTAAAACTGGTTACCAGGGGCTGAGGGGAGGAGGGACACTGGAGTTGTTTAATAGGGACAGTGTATTGGTCTGGGGTGACGAAAAAGTTCTGGAGATGGATAGTGATGATAGTTGCACAGAAAAATAAATGTACTTAATGCCATTGAAAAATGTTTCAAATGGAAAATTCTGTTATATATATATTTCCTACAACCAAAAGGGAAAAAGAAAAAAATGGTTACAATGATAAATTTGATGTTATGCATATTTTATCACAATTTTTAAAAAGAACAAAAGGGAGAATGAAAAAGGATTGATATAAGAGACAGTTTTACATTCATTCTCAAAAAATCACTTTCTGTTTCTATGAATCAGCATGTTGTTACATCAGTGAAAGAACATAATTTAATTAGCAAAAAATCTGAAACATGCCCCGAAATATGCTATTTTCATTTTTATATATAAACCTTCAGCTATTTCGCTTTTCCAACCAACTTTACAACCAATTCAATGATACTCATCCAATCTGCAAAAGATCAAAGATCCAGATATTCTTATTCCTTACTTTATCATCTTCTCCACATTGATTGATTTAAGCTAGTTCAAAAATTTTTATCAACTCAGAGGATGTCATGAGGTAAGGAAAAGGTGATTATGTATCTTTGATTTCTCACAAGATATTCTGAGAGCAAGGTGATTCAAACAACACATCTAAAATTTTGGAAAAAAGTAGGTTTTTCTTATAACACGCTATGTTTACTCACTTAACTGAACAACAAAATTGGACTGTCCTTCAAGAAACTAATACATCTTTAAACTTTGAAAAAATATACCCCCTCTCTAACAAACACTTAAAATCTGAAACTTACAAAAGCAGCATGCTTTCCTCGAAATCCTCTTGTACACTGTTGTCTCCATGGCTTCCAAATAATAAAGCCCAAAAGGTACAGAACAAACATCGATGTTTTTGCAAAGGTGCTGAAGAATGGTTTGTTGTACTGAGTAAAAACATACTGCAGGAAAAAAAAGTTAAATTATGAGATAACTTTAAACCTTATAACTTATCTCCGATAAAACAAGGCCATTACATGATTTTTAACTCTAGGAGTTCATTTGGAAGGGAAACTCTGAAGGGATTATAAAAATGTTTTAGATTCATTTCTGAATATTATATTTGCCTTGCAAAAAAAAAGATAATATACCCAAAAAAATCACAAACTTACAAAAAAAGTTCTGTTCAACATTCACTGAAAACCTACTATCAAGAGGCTAAGGAAAAAGGCTTTCTTGAAAGGATGGATGGATGGATGGATGGATGGATGGATGGATGGATGGATGGATGGATG